AAAAGTAAATGGCAAAGGGGAATAACTCCTCTCAGTAGAATACAAATTAATAAAGCCCTGGCCAGGACCAGAACACTTGACCAAATAGTCCAGATGTTCAAAAATCTTTATTAAAACTTTTACTCTTTTTGCCTCTGATATGCCCAGGTGCAGAGAAGATTTTCAAAGAAATAATGCATTTTTACTACAGATTCACTATATTATCTATAGAGCTCCCCCCCCCCCCCTCCCCACCAAGAAACACCAGAACCTCTCACCCTGGGACCAAAAGTTTGCTCATCATATGTAATCACTTTGTTTATCTGCTTACCACTAAGGAGCAGACAGGATTATTTAATAGAATTAATGCATTTTCACTATATTATCAAGAGCCCCACCCTTACACCAGCACATCTGACCCAGGGGTCATGCAATTCACTACTCTGGAAGAAACACTCTTGCTCATCATAACTATACACTTAATTCTTTGCTTTTTAAGCAGAAAAAAATATTATCTAAGAAATTTTGCCTTTTCTTTATATAATCAATAGAGCCCCCTCCCCTTTTCACCGGAAAACTTGACCCTGGGGCCAAGAAATTCACAATTTTGGAAGAGGCATCCTTGCATATCATAACAATGTACTTAGCTGTTTAAATAATACCCAGGGGCAGAGAAGATTTTCAAAGAAATAATTCACCTTCACTATAGGATCTATATAGCCCCACCCTAGCATCAGAACCCCTGTCTCTGGGGCCATGAATTTCACAATTTTGGAAGAGGCATCCTTGCTTATCATAACAATGTACTTAGTTTGTTTAAATAATACCCATGAGCAGAGAAGAAGATTTTTAAAGCATTAATGCATTTTCACTATATAATAAATAGAGCCCTGCCCTAACACCAGAACCCCTGATCCAGGGGCCATGAAATTCACAATTTTGGAAGAAAGATCCTTGCTTATCATAACTATGTATTTAATTTGTTTAAATAATACCCAGAAGTAGAGAAGAAGATTTTCAGAGAAATAAAGCAATTTCACTATATAATCTATATAGCCCCGCCCTAGCACCAGAACCCCTGACCCTGGGGCTATGAATTTCACAATTTTGGTAGAGTCACTCTTGTTTATCATAACTATGTATTTAATTTGTTTAAATAAAACAAAGGAGTAGAGAAGAAGATTTTCAAAGAAATAATGCACTTTCACTATATGATCTATATAGTCCTGCCCTAGCACCAGAACCCCTGACCCTGGGGCCATGAATTTCACAATTTTGGTAGAGGGCTCAATGCTTATTACAATCATGCCAACAGTTTGACTGCTTGATGTCCAGGAGTAAAGAAGAAGATTTTTAAAGATTGCATTAATTTTGGTGGTTTTAGCCCCACCCTTCAGGCCCCAGGGGGGCAGGGACCATGAAATTCACAAATTTTGTTCCCCTTCATACATAAATGTCATATGCTAAAATTGGCTGAAATTGGTTCAGCAGTTTCAGAGAAGAAGCTGAAAATATTCAAATGTTAACATACGACGACAGACGAAAACAGATAGCAGTAGGTCACCTGAGTGACTCAGGTGACCTAAAAAGTAAGTCACTGTGACCTACTTTTGAGTCAACATGATACAAGGTCCTATGATGCATTAACTGACAAGATTTGATGATCTTAGGCCTTATAGTAAGCAAAATATCAAAGTTTTAACAAAACATAATTTTTTGTCAACTTTGAAGTGGCCTTGAGACCACTTCCTTTGCCCCAGGGTAATACCTTGAACAATTTTTAATCTAGATCATGTCCTCATCCTTGTATGTAAGTTTGATGATAATCTGCCCAGTGGTTCTTAAGAAGATTTTTTTTAGCAACCAGTACTTTTGTTTTTATTTTCCTAATTATCTCCCCTTGTTTAAGGGTCACATCCCTGTTTTCAGTAAAAATGAGAGCCCTTGGGCCAAATATACTCTGACAAATTTGACAAAAATCGGTCAAGGGGTTCTGAGTTATGGCCCATATTCCAAAAAATTGATGCACACCACACAAATGGCCATAGCATTAGCTCTTTAAGCCTTACAAACAATGACAATATTGTTAGAAGCCTTGTTGGCTTGAACCATTATATTTTTGTCATGTAGTCTATTTAATTCTTTAACAACCTCCAATTTAGTGAAAACGAAAGGATAGATGGTTCACATATTGCCTTTTAAATTTCTAATACGATTTTTTAATATATTTCTAAAACACTAAATCCATTCTGACAGTGTTCAGATCTTCCTTGTCATATTTAGCCCACCATCCATCTTTGCTAGCCAAGGGTTTCCAATCCGCTACTCCGCTCATAAACCCTTGGCCTATGGTGCTGTCAAAAGTTGGGTTTGTTTACAGCACATGATCTCAAATCTTACCACATATGCACAGATTGCATCACTGACAGAAATAAAAGCAAATTTAAAAATTAAAATTTATGGAGAATAATTTACAAGAAGGTATCGAGTGATGTTTATTTGTTACTTAGCGTGCAAATCTACATCTGCAATTTAGATTCCTGATATTATTTGCACATCAGCCTGAGATTGGATAACACCATAGCTATTTACAGAATGGCATGTTATCTTACGGATTATTGTTTACTTGTGTTTTTTGTTCCAGAAACTTAAGTGTCAAGTCTGTGAAGAAATATCCCAAACGCAGTTATCGTCATTTACAAAAGCAATAGCTGATTGCTTGAATGATATCTGATCAATCAACTCAAATTACAATTCGATAAAAAAATTCCGATTTTTAGATATGGTCATGTATAAAATATACAAACAAGATGTGTTTGTGAAACACTGATGCCCCCATATGGCAGCTTATGGTGAAGGTTAAAGTTTCTCAAATGCAAGTCAAAATCCAGGCCAAAAGATAAAAAATGTTGGTACCCAAAGAAAGGTCTTGTCTCGAGGAATACACCTGTGTAATTTGAAAGCCCTAGCTGCAACTGTTCAAAAGTCATGGCGAAGGTTAAAGTTTTTTAAAAGTAAGTAAAACGTCAAGGTCAAAGTGGTTGGTATCCAAAGGAAGGTCTTGTGACAAGGATTACATATGTGAAGTATGAAAGCCCTAGCACCAACCATTCAAAAGTTATGGCCAAGGTTAAAGTTTGTCAAAAGTAGGTCAAACTCCTAGGTCAAGGTCAAAAGGTCAAAGTGGTTGGTATCCAAAAAAAGGTCTTGTCACAAGGATTACATATCTGAAGTATGAAAGCCCTAGTTCCAACCATTCAAAAGTTATGGACAAGGTTAAAGTTTTTCAAAAGTAGGTGAAACTCCTAGGTCAAGGTCAACGGGTCAAAGAGGTTGATATCCAGAGGAAGGTCTTGTCTCAAGGAATACACATGTGAAGTTTGAAACCCCAAGCACCAACTGTTCAAAAGTTATGGCCAAGATTAAAGTTTTTCAAAAGTAGGTCAAACTCCAAGGTCAAGGTCAAAAGGTCAAAGTTGTTGGTATCCAAAGGAAGGCCTTGTCACAAAGAATACACATATGAAGTTTGAAACCCCAAGCACCAACTGTTTAGAAGTTATGGCCAAGGTTAAAGTCTCATAAAATTTTGCAAAAGTAGGTCAAACTCCAAGGTCAAGGTCAAAAGGTCAAATATGATGGTTTCCAAAGAAAGGTTTTGTTACAAGGAATACACATGTGAAATATGAAAGTCATAGCTCCAAACAATCAAAAGTTATGGGCAAGGTTAAAGTTGACAACAGACAGACAGACAAACAGACAGACTGGACAAAAACAATATACCCCCAGGATCTTTCCATCCAGTGGCATAAAAAATCCCAAAAATTAAATGACACGAATTTTTTTGGTGTGGATGTCTGCAAAGATTTTTATATATGAAATGACAGGGGAATTTCAAATCATTCCTTGTAACCAAAAAACCTTTATAACCAAGTTCCTTGCAATTTTAGCTTTACTGTTATGCTATTTCTGGTACTATTATTATGCATCTCAGAAAAGTGTTTCTCAGATTCTGAGCTATCTTTTTCCCTATTCTATCAATATCTTTCATTTGCTGTCCCCCTGGCAGCTGATTTGTTGAAACCAAACAACACATACATGACAACAGGTAACTAAGTATTACACAGGGGTTTTGACAAACCACCATCCAATCCAATTACAGTAGGTGGGACCAATAACTGCACTCTTGCTTCCCTTATCTGCAGATTGTCTATCTATAGCCATCTACCAATAAATTTACGTATAGGTTTCCAACTCTCTTGAACGCCAATTATGTACACAAGATTTAACTTACACCACACCCTCCCACCAATGAGACGTACATTCAGTCGTTAATATAAACATGTTATATATGTCATAGACTGTAGATGTGAAGTTTCTTATGAATAAATAGTACAAATTAAAATCTACTTAGAAGTAGACACATATTCAGGGATAGACATTAACTTTCTAATTCACTTGCCTGAAAACTTTGACTTTTCCAAATGCAAAACTTGGTTGCCCAAAATTAGGAAAGGAGAATATTATTTTTACTGTAAATGTGTAAAAGAAAAAATGTGACCAAATACACTACTGTCAACTTGGCAAGTTGAGCTACATGAAAAAAGTTCAATGCTGCATTTGTACATCGGTGCGTACCACTGTCCTTGTCAATTTAACCTGTTAACACACACTGCCATGCAGCAATAACCCTCACTTTCCTTTTAATAAAATTCATATTTTTATAAATTATTTTGGTAGAATCCTTTTGTGATCTCTGATTTACTGTGAAGCAATGGTAAACATGGTAAAGGAAGGTAGTTGCTACAAAACATATATATTCTTGATCAGGATACAGCATGTTACTTATATTCTGTAAGTGAATAAATAATCTAAGTTCCTAATAAGTTAACAAAAGGGAATGTTCAATTCAATGAAGAGCGAAAAGAAACACCTTGCTGAGATGCATAGTATATGTACTGCTTGAAAAATATTTGCCGAAAAGAGTAATAGCCCCATAACCACGAGTTTTGATGAGTACTTACTTTGGCTGGGAGTATTCCCCAACAATAGGGCACAAACAGATAGGCTTGTCATCTCCAGCTCTGTCCTGACACATTCCATGTGAACTACAAGTGTCTGTTTTACACTGATCTTCTAAGTCTGTCTCACACTGGTTACCACTATACACTATTGACAAATAAATTGAAATACCACATTAAAGGAAAAATTATTAATTATAATTATTTTGTCTATTCTAAAATAATTTGCTTTTGAATAATAAAACTACTAGTTATTGTTTTGAATAATAATTTAAAACTACTTTCTTAAGGAAATTTGTCCTGTAGGTCCACAAGTCACACTAACTTTTTCCCCAAACTCCTCTAACAATTAAGAGCCATTCTCTGTAATGACTTGAACTTTTATATAGGAGCTGTGGCACGCATAGTCTCAGAATTTCTCCAAACTCTCTAAGATAAAAGTCTTTGATACCGTAAACTCAAATCAGGCAAAAATTGGTTGCTATGTGTCATGGTTACCAGAGCAACATGTCCTAAAGTTTGAAAAATGGCATTTTTCAACATCTTCAGAGTCCCCCAGTTAACGTTTGCAGCAAAGCAAACAAGTGGCAATGAGTGTTTCTGAAAGTTGAAGGCCTGGTGTCTTAAATGCATGATAAACATGTTTGGTAAATCATCTATAACATACGTTACTATGGAAACAAAAGTATTCAAAAGTAATAATTTTGTTCATTTAATTTTATAAAGTCATACACTTAAGAATAAAATCAATTATAGGTTGAAATGTAAGCAAATAATAGAGAAGAGATCCTTGTAACATATACCAAGGACAAAATATGATATTTCTTATAGGTTGGCAATGGTTGCCATGGTTTTAGTACCAGAAGGGATTTTAAATTTACTCTCTTAGTGTTTTAATCTTATCCTGTCTTTTTAAAAAGCATATTTCTATATAACTGATGATCAATTTTTAAAGGCCTTGGTGTGACCCTAATTTTCACATTTCAAAAAATTCAATTTCAATTCTTTAAATAGTGTGTTGCTATGGAAATAAGGCGAAAAAACATGCATAAAAATCTGAAAAATACTCTGTTTCCTTGGATACGTACCGTTGTATGTAGATTCCCAAAACTTTAATGATTGATATATGTGAACAACTAACCTGACTTTCAATTTTGACTATCACCCAATCTCTAACTGGATGCAAAAAGCTGGCACATAGGGTCTAATATTGACAAAAAATTAACAAAATCGAACATTTTCTCTTCTTGGTAACCATAGCAACAGTGTTGTATTTTTCAACAACCTTTATCAATAAATGATATTCAACTTTAGTTCTACGAGATAAGTACTATTCAAGGTGATTCAAATAATATTTTTCTTGATTAAAAGGTTAGTAAATTCCTAAAGCAGCAAAAAAAATATCACTTTAAACAACTAGTACGTTGTTTCCATGGTTACACTGCAAAGTAACAATTAATCTCAATTTTTCTTATGTTGTCGATGTTGCAAGGTCCTAAGGATGTATATGTGCCAGTCATGAATTTTATTGTTTTTCCTTAGTACGATAGTAGCATTAACCCAATCATAGCAACAGATTTTGCATGGTGACACTTTGTTACCATGGCAAACATGAAAGTTATTTTTAGAATAATATTGCCAATACCTAATTACATGAGGTCAAATATTTTTCATTGTTTTTCTTACGTTGTTGATTGAGTTTGATCATGTAACATCTATCATTTGTGACTATAGGGCGTTTTTCAGCATTTTTCAGCATCTAAAATGTATTCCAAATGTACCCATGGTTACCACTTACTTAGAGATAAATTCTAAATAGTTTCTTTATAGCATAAGTGACAACAAGGTGTCATGTTTTTGGGAGAATGGTTTGTTTGTTTTTCTTAGTCTTTATTAAGGCTTAATAAAGATTTAAAGTAGCTGAAAATCTCAATTTTTTTCAACTTTTCTGGCTGTTACCATGGCAATCAAGACACACAGCAACGAAATTTTATTTGATATATGTTTCTGGTGTCAAGTTGTAATAATGGGCAAAGTTTCATCAAAATCGGTGACCATGCGTGGCAAAGAAGTTTAAGTGGTTACAGAGAATCGCTATTAAATAGTAATTCATACATATTTTGGAAATAATTGTTGGTATGTGCCCAGTAGGTATATAATAAGGTTTTGAAATTTTCTTTTTCAACCTGGGGGCCAAAAGGGGGTTGAAAAACACTTGATTTGCAAACCTCCTCTCACATACCACACAATAGTCAAATAATCCTTATTAAAAATTATATCAATATGATTGATGGTGTCCTCTAAAGGAGCAGTACATTTTGGAATTTTCAAATTCACCATGAGGGGCCAATTTGGGGATGAAAAAATAAAGTATTTCTACAACAAGAGACCCATGGGCCACAATACTCACCTGAATAACTATGGCCTATCTTCTTTTACCTCAGCAGATTCTTTTTCCTATATATTTCTAATAAAATTATTAAATGTAAAACTTTGATCGCCTATTATAGTTTTAATCTACCCTGGGGGTCATGATTTGAACAAAATTGAAAACACACTATCTGAGGATGGTTCCATAGTAATGTCACTAATCATGATTTTTCTAGTCTTGAGAAGAAGATTTTAAAAGAATTTTGTAAGTTTCTTTGATTACCCATTGTGGCCACACCCCTATTGCTGGGGGTCATGATCTGAATAAAATTGAATGTACACTACCTGAGGATTTTTCTGTATCAATATGACTAATCATGGCATTGTTCTTCTGCAGAAGGAGATTTTCAAAGATTTTTTCCTATTTATTCCTATGTAAAAAATTTGATCCCCCATTGTTGCCCCATCCTACCCTGGGGAGTCATGATTTGAACAAACTTGAATATACACTACCTGAGGTTGCTTCCATATCAATATGACTAATCATGGCTTTGTTGTTCTGGAGAAGATTTTCAAAGATTTTTTTTTCTATATATATTCTTATGTAAAAATTTGATTCCCCATTGTGGCCACACCCTACCCTGATGGTCAAGATTTGAACAAACTTGAATGTACACTAGCTGAGGATGCTTCCATATCAATATGATTAATCATAGCTTTGTTGTTCTTGAGAAGAAGATTTTTAAAGATTTTTTCAAATATATACCTATGTAAAACTTTGATTCCCCATTATGGCCTCACCCTACCCGGGGGGATCATAATTTGAACGAACTTGAACCTATGCTATGTAGAGAAGGTTTCACATAAGTTTCGACTTTTTTTTGGCCCAGTGGTTCTTGAGAAGATTTTTTCCACCAATATACCACCAAATTTTCACTAATTCTTAATTATCTCCCCTTGAAAGAAGGTGTAGCCCTTCATTTTAACAAATTTGAATCCCCTTCACCCAAGGATGCACTGAAGCAAGTTTGGCAAAAATTGGCCCAATGGTTCTAGAGAAGAAGTCAAAAATGTGAAAAGTTTACTGACAGACGGATGGACAGACGGACTACAGACAAAATGTGATCAGAAAAGCTCATTCGAGCTTTCAGTTCAAGTGAGCTAAAAATGAATGACTGTTCAGTCTAAAGTTTTAAAATGGTGTATTTGAAAGAAATTAATATTAGAAATCCAAAACTTGACTATTCTGAAACTGATGTTGAGACTTTATCAGATATGCACACATAAAAACTTGCAATGGTAGGAAAGTTCTGCTTGAAGTAACTTAGATAAATAAGTTCAAACTTTTATGAAAAACATCAGATATTCTGGAGGAATTATAAACATAGCTATCATGATGGTTTCAGCTAAGGGAAGTGAGTGTACTGGCACATGTCTGATCATTGTTTTGACACATCTGTTTCATATTTGGATATTTTACTAGTAAAAAACAGCAGTGGTAACCTAACAACAAAACTTTGTGATAAATATGATGACTTCAACTTTTCTATCATCAACTTCCCTTATTCATGTAGTAATATACCATTAATACCTGCATATGCAGTTTATGTCTCCCAGTTGATTTGATAGGCAAAACCATGCTCTACAAACGAACTATTTCTAAAATGAGGCAAGCTACAAACCTGTTTACCCATATTGTTGTCCCTCAGTATTTTTTATTGGATATGTCAATAAGATTTGGCATTTGCCCGTAAGATTTCACTTTTTTTCGATTGTACATATATTACTAAAATCAACTACAATTCTGATTACCAAAACATAGTGTAATAACAAAGAAAAACATCATATTTTGCTTTCCTTCGAGTCATTTTTTAAACCACTGTGCTTTGGCAACCCGACATCACTTAAGTGTTTGAAATTTTTCTCTTTTTTAGCGATTAAAAAGCGTCAAACTGAGACAGACCAGAACGAAAACTAACTGCTAAAATCCAAATGAACGGATTTCCGATTTCCGTAGTTTCATTATAGCAATACGGCGAAATTGTAAGAGTAAACAGGTCTGAAGCTATTGACAAATAAGTTGATGAAACAATATTAACAGTCTTGTTTAAAACCAACATTTCAAAAATTCTATGGTCATGCAATACAATGACTTTCAACAAATACAATCTAACATTAAGTCAAATGATGACTGACATTTTTCATACAAATTGTTAGGCCACCATGGTCACATTGTATCTATGTATAAACTCCCCTCACCTTCTATACCCCTCCCTCAACTCCTCAATTTACATGGTCATGACATGATATTTTGAAAACATAAAATTGAATCGCCAGAACATATAATTGAACAGTCCTGACATAAATGTTGACACTGTGGTGCCAAGAACAAAAAATATTTACAGGTATAGTAAAAAAGTTTTGTTTATGTGTAAGAGTTAAAGAGGAATTTGGGGGTGGGGTGGGGAGGGGGTTATAATATATGTTGCTATGTAGAATTCTATTGAATATATTGATAAAACTGGTATACAGTAATACTTGTTTAGTACGAACACAGATATAGCGAATTTACGGATAAAGCGAAGTTTTATTGCAATCCCTGGCAAAATTCTTAACAATTGCTTTTAAAATTTATGGATATAATGAACTCGAATATTATTAAGTTAATTTACTGTTATAACGAACTGATTTTGTGTCCCCTAGAAGTTAAAACTAACGAAATTTACAATTTTTATAGCAAATTTTCAAAGATCTAAATTTTTAATATATCTAACTGATATTAATTTTGTAAGTAGTTATATTTGAAACTCAGTTCATCCGAAAACTTTTGAACTCCGTGGTAAATTTTGTATTTTATACTTCCCTAAATACATTTGGTAGTCATACTTGAATGAAAAAAATCTATATACACTATGTATACTTTTAAGAATTTGTTATACGGATATAAAAGATAAGGATATAGCGAAGTAAATTTGCAGGTCCCCATAACTTTGCTACAAGCCAGTTTTACTGTATTCATATGAACCATAATATATTTTTAATTACATGAACTGTAGGAATCAATAATGAAAACCCCACAACCAATAATTTGTTTAAAGGTGATATACATGTATATGTATGTAGAAGTAGTCAAACCAATTTCAGACCCTTACCAGACTTAATATTTTACAAGATACTATGTTCTAACCCTTGAATGAAACTTGATATAATATTAATTAAATAATTCAAATAGCTGTAATTTCAGTCATCTAGAATTTTATCTTAATCATCATTTAATTCAATAATTTCATATTTGTCTTAGATATTGTACAGTTCAAAATTATTTAGAATAATATTCTGTTTGATCTCTACCATTAATAAAGCAGTGATCATATTTCTTGCCATTGTATTAACTGTAAAATTTATTTTTCCTTTTTTTTTTTTAGTTGGGAACGGCATTCTAATGAACAATTAATTGTTATGTACAAATTCCACTTCCAGAAAATTATTATAAACATTTTTAAGGGGGAATAGGTACTTTATTTCAAAAATCATCATTTCTGGTTACATCTGTTTGCATTTTAGTCTGGTCCTGATTTTGAAAAAGAAGACTAGAAATTAGTTTTAACGGCAAATAATTATTATTTGGTCCAGCATAGTTTTTATCCTATTTCGAGTATGCTGAATTTGAAAAAAATATGCTAGTCATCTTGAGAGTGGTTTTAATTAGGTCAAAATGGTGATTCAAAATGGTGAACGTGAAAATTTTCAAAATATTCATACTGCTTAATTCTGAGTTGTTTTTGCAGAAAATAAAAAAAAATAAACTACTGTTAGTATTTTAAAATTATTAAAATCAAAAGCCTGAAAGGCTTCAATGGCATCGCACAAGAAAAACAATTTCAAAAGATCTTTCTGAATTGGAAAATAGCAATAAGTCAAGTGAGTGACTCAGGAGACATAATAAAAAAAATAGTTAAGCAGACAATATCTTCCTATGTGCAGTGTAGTTGACCCTTGACCATTTGACCTCCAATCAATATTAGTCCTCTACACCTTAGTTGGAAACGGTGTACCAAGTTTGATGTCTGTCAAGCAAAGGGTTCTCAAGATATATTTCTATCTTCAGAGTAGTTTAACCTTTGACCTTGTGACCTTAAAATCAAAGGGAGTCATCTACTCCCAAAAGGGTATAAATAACCAAGTTTGATGTTTGTCGAGCAAAAGGTTCTCAAGATATTGATTGAACAACTCCTGTCTACCAACATACTGACCGACCAACAGACTAAAAGGTGCAAAGCAATATGCTCCTTTTTAAAAAAAAAAAAAAAAAAAAAGGGGGGGTTTTAAAAAAAAGGGTTTTCATCAAAGCATCAATTCAGGTTCTTAATTACAAATTTTCAATGTAAGATTTTTTTTAAGTTTGCTCTTTTTTTCTCAATAAAATTGGTGCTCCCCCATTCAAAATGGTAGTCCCTGACAATCAAAATGGCCTAAACAGCATGACCTGGCGAGGATATCATATATCTTTTGGACAAATGGAACAAAAAAACTCAAGTCTAAATTCAGCTTTAAAAGAACAAGGTTCACTTACGGCCTGAATTTCTGAAAAATTAAAAGTGCTCAGTTTTAGTTGAAAATACATTAAATTTTGCTTGGATTCTTAGTGACTGCATATCTATTAGAATGACGCAATTTTCTCACTAGTTCATGTATTATGATGTCATAAATTGCGTCATTATCTTCAAATCTTCAAAATTTCTTCAAAAATTGCCAAAAATTTAAGCAGTTTTTCAATATTTTGCATAGACCCCAACCTCTGATCTAAAATGTATAAATGTATAATGAGAGTATTGTTTCATCAGATTATGATCCATGTTTAATTTTTTGGATCGTGAGGTGGGCTCATATTTTTGTTCTTTGTTGAAAGTGCTCAAATACACCAATTTTCTTCAAAATTCAATAACATCGCAATTTCACAAAGCCTGTCTTTCAATACCTGGACTCTCAGAGGAAACTTTTTTATAGGAAATGAAAACACTATATAAGTCTCTTTTTTATATTGATGATTGAAATGGGACTTTTGGGCTTGGTCAGTTAATTTGTATATGGATAGGGCTATTTTCTGGCTAAAGTGAACCTTGCTCTTTCCTGAACATCTTCTTCAAGTACAAACTTTAAAAATTTCAAAAAGATTTATAACTTTTCAGAGTTTATACATTAGTATTTTTACTACATGTGTAAAGACAGATTTTACACACAGCATTTTGGTATACTTACAGTATTTGTAGAGACAGTCTTTTTCAAAGAACAGAGAGGTATCAGATGTATAGGGCTCTGGAGTAGCATCTTCTTTCACAATGAAACAGAATTCTTTGAGATGATACATAGCTTTGCATTCTTTATCATCAAGACATACTTGTTTACATGCATCTAGACTCCTCTTTCCTAGTAATAGTTCTCTTTTTGTGTCATCAACAACAAAACTGCCTGGTTTTGCTTGCATAGAGCAATTTGTCACTACAAATCAAATAAAACAGTATCCATCATTATGATACAGAATAAATCATGAATGTTCAATAATTAAGAAATTGAAAACACTAAAAAAACATAACAAAACAAAACAAAAACAGATGGATAATGAGGAAAACTTTGAATACTAAAGGCACATGGGCTAGATAAGTAAGTCACCCTGGCCCTGTTGATAGACTTGATACACAAGGAATTGTCTTTAACTCTCTATTCCCATGAAAAATTCTGAACCCATGGTGTGGCCCCACCTCAGCCCAGGGGGCATGACTAAATAAAACTTGAATTCACACCACATGAGAATGCTCAATATCAACATGACTTAAGTAATCTTTACTGTTCTGGGGAACAAAAGATTTAAATACAATTTTATATAAAATCTGATCCCCAAACCTAACCTCAGGATCCATAATTTGAACAGAACAAGAGGCCCATGATCCCCTGTTGTGCACCATCCTACCCTCAGTTGTCATAATTTAAACAAACTTTAATCAACACTACCTGAGGATGCTTCCATATTCATATGGAACACTACCCCAGTAATTTAAATAAAACTGAGGTCAAGGTCAAAGGAAAGGTCAAAGTCAAAAAACGTTGAAGCAGTTGAATAGCTTACATCAGTATGTATCAACATATGAAGTTTGATTACACTATCTTGAATGGTATCTTTAAAACTGAGCTAAATACTAATTTAAGAAAAGTGATATCAAGGTCAAAGGAAAGGTCAAGGATAAAAAATGTTGATGCAGTTGCATAGCTCTCATCAATATCTATCAGCATATGAAGTTTGATGAAAATATCTTGGATAGTTTCTTTGAAAGTGAGCTTTGAACAGAGCTAAACACAAAGTGCGATGGAAAGACAGACGGAAAGACAGAGGGATGGAAGGACAGAAGACGGACATGACAAATACTATATGCACTGGCCATATTCATGGCGGGGCAAAAAACTATATAACTATCTTCATCAGTGAATTATATATTTTATGTTTATTTCTAATGGAATATAAACCATATTTTCATTCCTTTTTAGTGATAATATCTTTGAGGAATGGAAGCCATGTATTAGAGGCTCGACATTGTGGAATTTGCAACATGTGTAATATCATTTAAACAGAAAATGCATCTCTGTAAATACCGGATCTGTGTGCATTCAAGCAAGAAATTCACACCTGATATGCACTAATTAAACAAAGGGACTTAATTTGTATGCATTAGATAAACAAAGCCTTTCATGCGACCAAATTTTATACGGTGTACATGTATCAGAAAGCGTATTTCACCATCTTTACTTGACTATTTATTCATTTATTTTTAAAAATGGCTGTACAAAAAGGGCATGACATCTTAAAAAAGAACATTGCGCCACATGAAAATGGCATGCTACTGCGCCATGCTTAATCATCAAGGAAAAAACACGACTTCTATGGTTCAGTGTAGAATGAAAATGAGCAGATAATAATTGAAAGATACCGCGATTCAAATATTGAAGCCATGGCCGGAACCAAACTTACAGTAAAATCCGGAACCAATATTATGATTTTAAGGTTCCGGCCAGAACACGAAGTATCCAGAATGTAAATTATGTGAAAGCGGGTTTGTAGAAAATAGAACAAAATGAAAATAGCATTTTATATCTATGGAAAATAATATATCAAGTGAAAAGTCATCATATCAAAAAATTTTAAAAATTCATATTAAAAAATGATGTAAATCATACTGAGAGCTTTTTTTCTGGTTAGAAACATTGAACCTGCGGGTATCAACTTTTAAGTTTTGAGCAACATCATTTAATGTATTTGACTTTTGATTTGATACTGTGTGTTTCCAAGCCCATTTCTCTTCCAACTTTTAAGTTTTAGTACATTTATGTATGTTGACTTAATGTATCAGCAGCCTTGTTTGCCACTTTTCCTCATTAACGATGTTTTTTTCTACTTTCGGTTTTAAAAATCACCTCCAATTTTTATAATTATTTAAAATATATTTAATAATAATTTACGTTTGATGTCTTTTACAAATTATGCTCAAATTCTCAGTCTTTATTTTCTATCCCCATTACTATTTTTGTCAGCTGTGTGCATTCAAATGAGAAGTGATTTCCAGTACATTTCACACCCTTTATTCACACCTTCACGTTCATTAAATAAGGCGGTATTTCTGCATGCACTAGGATTCAAGGATTCAATTACTTTTTATTTTTAACGCTACTAATCAAAGCATCTAAATGACTTTAAAGAAATAACCAGATTAAAACAAACTGGTTTGAAATTATTCAAATTACAAAAATTTTGCAAGTGAAGAGAGCAATAAAATATTTTGAGTCAGGCTAATTTTTGTGGGTCGGTCGGCTAAGGGCAAACAAACAATATTTTACTTTAGGCCTAATTTAAGAAACCTGAGGTCTAGGTCAAAGGAAAGGTAAAGGTAAAAAAATGTTGATGCAGTTGATAGCTCACATCGATATGTATTAGCATATTTAGTTTAATAAAAATATCATGAATGGTTTCTTTAAAACAGCTAAACATTATTTAAAGACAAGAGGCCCAAGGGCCTTAACGGTCACCTGAGTACAACAATTCAAAGGATCCATATAAATAGCAAGAAAAATAGTATGATTAAGATCAACAAAATAATTGCTCTAAGTATCTTTCTATCTGTCCCCCATTTGTCACTATTACCATGCAGACTTTTAACAAAATGTCTATTACCTCTCACATTGACCTTACTTGGCCTTTGAAGAACATTTAAAAAGATAAGTTATTTTTGTCTCATCTTTATTCATCTATTATTTCCAAGTCTACCTGATTATTAAAACTATGAAAGTACTTTTTGTATTATACAATAAATGTTCTTGCATAATTCTCTTATTCTATTAACCTTTCAAATACATTATCTACAGTGATTAATTATCAAAGGTGAATGACAAAGGGGAATAACTTCACTCAGTAGAATACAAATTAATAGAGCCCTGGCCAGGACCAGAACACTTGACTAAATGGTCCAGATGTTCAAAATTCTGGTAAAAATACCCTTGCTTATTAAAACTTTTACTCTGTTTGCTTCCGATTTGCCCAGGAGCAGAGGAGATTTCCAAAGAAATAATGCATTTTCACTATTTAACACAGCCCTACCCTAACACCAGAACCCATGACCTAGGGTCATGAAAATTTACAGATTTGGAAGAGGTACCCTCATCATCATAACTATGCAATTAGTTGGTGAATCTCAAAGAATTCACACATTCTCCCTATATAATCAAATAGACCCCCCCCCCTTCAGAGAAACAACAGAACCCCTGGGACCACAAGTTTTAAAAATTTTGTAAAAGCATCCTTGCTCATCATAACTATACACTTGTTTCTTTGCTTTATAACCAGGAGTAGAAATAAATATTTTGAAAGAAATTATGAATTTTCACTATATAATCAATAGATCCCCCCTTTCACTAGAACCTCTGACCAAGGGGCCATGAAATTCACAATTTTGGAAGAGGCAGCCAAGCTCATCATAACTATGTACTTAGTTAGTTTATTTCACACCCAGGAGCAGAGAAGATGATTTTGAAAGATTTAATGCATTTTCACTAGGGATGTCAAAATATTTATTTTCTTTAGTCAAATATTCGATTGCTTTATTCGAACGATAGTTGAATATATTCGAAACTTTTTCGGAAACTAAAATTTTATTTCAAACTTCACTGGTACATGACATATTTAACCCCAAATCCTCTTTTCTTTGATTTATTAAAAAGTAACATCAAATGTTACATTCAGATGTTCACATGGACTTAAAATGTGGATAGCGTGTTTACATTTACTATATATAGACCGCTAATTTCTCCAAAATGTATGATTTCCCCGTCAATCATGTTTATAAATTGATCTGTAAAATAGGTTTTTTTAGGAAGCATAAAAAATGACAGTACGATATTTTTAAAAAAAGTTTATTAAAATGATGGGGGGGGGGGGGGGGGGGACACGGTGTCTGTGATAATGTTAAATATTTGAATATACTTTTGGTACCAACTATCAAAATGTCTTTTAAAATATGTAAAAGAATATTGATTTTATAATAATTATCGTAGTGTCCAAACATGCCACGGCTGTAATGGGTACATGTTATGAGATCAAGTCCAATTAATAATTTTACAAAGAAAGCGCGGTATAGCGATACAATTTTATTACAAAAACAACATTAATTGACAAATAATTCTCGCGGAAGTGAAGCATTTCTAATTACTGTACTTTCTACATATAAAGTCAACAGTTTTAATGAGGAAAATCATCTTTTGGACTGTGTCTGAGGAAAGACGATTTCTCAATTTTATCATGAGAATTCCATCTCTTTATCACTCTTTAATTGAATTTATTTATTCGAATGTCGTTTTGTTATTCAATCGTCGGTCCATTCGACTGATAGTCGAATAGTCGACTATTCGTTGACATCCCTAATTTTCACTATTATAATCAATAGAGCCCCACACTAACACCAGAACCCCTGACCCAGGGGCCATAAAACTCACAATTTTGGAAGAGGCAGCCATGCTCATTATAACTATGTACTTAGTTTATTTAATACCCATGAGCAGAGAAGAAGATTTTGAAAGATTTAATGCATTTTCACTATATAATAAATAGAGCCCCATCCTAACACAAGAACCCCTGAACCAAGGGCCATGAAATTCACAATTTTGGAAGAGGCAGCCATGATCATTATATCTATGTACTTAGTTAGTTTATTTCATACACAGGAGCAGAGAAGAAGATTTTCAAAGATTTAATGCATTTTCACTATATAATCAATAAAGCCCAGCCCTAACACCAGAAACCCTGACCCTGGGGCCATGAAATTCACAATTTCGGTAGAGGCACTCTTGGTCATCATAACTATGTACTTACTTAATTTCATACCCAGGAGCAGAGAAGACGATTTTCAAAGATTTAATGCATTTTCACTATATAATCAATAAAGCCCCCCCCCCCCTTTCCACCATAACCCCTGACTCAGGGGCCATGAAATTCACAATTTTGGAAGAGGCAGTCTTGCTCAACATAACTATGTACTTAGTTTGTTTATTTAATACTTAGGAGCAGAGAAGAAGATTTTCAAAGAAATAATGCACTTTCACCATATGATGCATATAGCCCAAACCTAGCACCACAACCCCTGATCCTGGGGCCATGAATTTCACAATTTTGGTAGAGGGCTCAAACCTTATTACAATCATGCCAACAGTTTGACTGCTTGATGTCCAGGAGTAAAGAAGAAGATTTTTAAAGATTACATTAATTTTGGTGGTTTCAGCCCCACTTTCACTATATGATCTATACAGCCCCAACCTAGCACCAGAACCCCTGACCCTGGGGACATGAATTTCACAATTTTGGTAGAAGGCTAAATGTTTATTACAATCATGTCAACAGTTTGACTGCTTGGTGTCCAGGAGTAAAGAAGAAGATTTTTAAAGATTG